ATGAGGTAAATGACTGAAATAAATCGATCACAAATGAATAAAAGGAAGCCCTTGAACTTTGTAAAAGGGCATCTTTATTTATTTAGAGTTATCTGATACCATTAAGTGTGCCCACAGATTCGTCTAGAACCAAAATAAATTTGTAAACTAATTAATTGACAAGCATTGAATTATTGTGAATTAACTGACAAAAGTAGCCCAAAAGTTAAGCCATAATTGCTAATTGACCGAAATGATCCTCGCAATATCACCATTTAACAAATAAAATAAGGATGAAATATAATTTATGGTGGGGATTAAATTGGTCATTTATCATATCTTTTCTTTTACTATTGTTACTAGAATTTAATGTTAATTAATTAATTAATTAATTAATATCGTTAGTAATAATTAATGGATAGTAATTTCAATTAATTAATAATGAAATTTTTATTCACCTTTGTCAACATTCTAAAGAAGAGAGTTAAAATCAAGATTATTCAACGAACTATCATTACTTGTATAACTTTTTAAGCTTTTGGATTTATCAATCTCTTCATCTAATATTCTACTTGTATGATATGCATCTGGATGTGATTTATGTACTTGTTGCGAAACACCACCATTGCTACTACTGATATTATCATTATTTCCAGGAATTTCCGTATATTTATTAACAGCAAAATCATAAAGCTCTCCATTAGTTGGTCTTTCTGATGGATTTACATCCCAACATCTCTGCATCATTTGCACATAATCATCAAGCATTCCAGGAAATATTGCTGGTCGTAAACCTTCACATATATCAAAATTAAATGATGGTCATGAGCTCTATCATCGTATGGTGTATGTCCTGCAAATATTTCCCACATTAACATCCCAACACTATAGATATCAGATTATTTGGTGTTATTTTTGCCTCTAAATAGCTTGGGTACAGTATATGATACAATTCCATAAATGATTTTTCATCAACTGGTCCACATAATCCCAAATCTGTAATATAACAATTATCTCCTTGCACAAGTATATCGCCACTATGTAAATCACAATGGATTAAATCTTTTTCATGTATAGAATATAATACATAAAGATTGTAATTCTGTCTTTAATGTTAAATTTAAATGATTTTTTTGCAATTGACCCCTTAAATCTCCTTCTAACTAATTTAAAACAATTGCATAATTTCCATCATCTGGGAATTTAGTTATACCATAGCACTGAACAATCAACCCGATTTGATTTTACAATAATTCATTGCCTGAAAATAAACAAAATCGATTAATATTATATAATACAGTATTGTTTAAATGACCTCCGGCTTTTGTATTGGTTTCCTACCCGAGGCCTCCTTCTACTTTACACCTTCAGTTTACACTCTTTGTCTTATTTCCATCCTTTACACTTGCCTTACGACTTTACGTCAAGAAAATCTAAAAACCATTGTACAACTACCAACCTCGTCAAAAAACGTTTTTCCAGGATTACTTGAATCATTTAAACTTTTTTTTAATACTACTTCATGCTTTCCAGAATAACTAAATTCCTTTTTATTTTTTCATCACAGTCAATTATTTGTCCTCTTGTCCATGTAGCAGTAAAAATGGAACTAAATCCACCTTCTGTCAACTTTGTTATGTCATCAAATTGCTCAAAAAGTATCCATTCTAAAATATGAGTTGGCAGAGATGATTTCATTTGGCATTGTTGAATAATTATGTTATTTCCAGATGTCCATGTAGCAAAAAGACTCTGTAATTGTAAACTAATACAGACTTCACAGAATCTATCAGAATATCTTGTCAATTTGCACTTGCTACATTCTTTTTGTTTGCCTGATTTGTATGTCGCATTATTTAATTCAAACACATAAATAAACCTTTCCTTACAATATTCGTTTCATTTTTCAGAAAGCTCCCTGTTTTTTTTTTGACTAATGAAAAAAAAATAATCTTTTCTATTTTCTATATCAGAATTAACTGCTTGCATTGTTACGCATTTTCAGCATTGATTTTATATACAAATTCCACCCTTTCCCGATGATAAAAATGATATTAGTTTAACATATGACATTATATAAAAATATAATATTTGACTTGGTGTTTAATTAATAACGGTTACATTGTTTCATTTTTCATTGCATAGTGTGTAACAAACAATCTAGTTATTTATTGTGTGCCTTTTAACATCAACATAGCATTCTTCTTTAATATGTTTATCAATTTTAAAGTTTCAAAATTGAAACTTACAAATACCAGCACCTAAAACTGTCTCATGCACTACGTACGTAAAAGCCGTTCTACGTACCAGCCTATGTGTGTTTCAGAGTCAGGCACTAAATACAACTCGAACACATTATTAATATGATTGCGTACTACTATTACGCGTAGTTAATTTCGAAAAAAACCATTAATTAACACAACTCGTATGTATGTAAAGACAATTTGATTTTATAAAATGTAATAATTTTAATTTATAAGAAAAGAAGAGGCTCTAATCCAAATTATAACTTCGCATGATAATTAATCCTTTGATAATAATTCTTTATTCATCCTTGGGCACATACATTTTTAGAACTTTTGATAATCTTATTTTATTATTGCTACTTGTATCAAGTGTTTTTACTTAGGTCAAACGTTTTTACTTGCGTCAAGGGCTTTTACTTTAGTCAAATCGTCAAAATATCCCTGGTGAAAAACTACCTTTAGTCAACACTTTAGTTACGTCAATGACTAAAGTTAAAAGTTTCATTACACCTACCATGCCATATTTCTTAATAAATGTCATAAAAAAGAATATCCACTTATCTTTGTTTTTAATAGTAGTAGAGAAATACAACTTTTACGAATCAAAAAAATGTTTTGAGTCATTTTTGACAACCTCGATAAAATAAATTCGTATCATCAACATAAATATTGTCGTTTATTCGTCACTTCACTCGCGAAGCTGACCATAACACAGAATGAAAATGGCCCAAAAATGATTTGATTTGATCTCCCTCTAAGCCTTTTAAACTTCAAGGTGTGATTGCTAGTGCTATACAAGTTTGTGTTAAGTTTCTGTCACTTCCACATATTTTGACGCCTTTTCTAAAGTACTTTATTTAATCTGTAAAATATAATAAATTTTGTGTACGTGGTACGATGGTGATATGTATTATTGGTATTAGATAATTTTTAAGATCGAATGTGATTTTTGTAGCTAGAAGACTCTCAATAATATATTCAAAAAAGAATCAAGTCTGTTTATGAAAATGGTTTAGAAGCCCAATCTTTTCCATTATTTAATCAAGTAATGATCGGTAAGATTGTTTACTAATTTTTTACACGTGATAGATATAACGCGTCGAATTTTTTTAATTGATTGTAAAGAATTTTTTAAAATTTTTTTTATTTACTCAAGTTTTTTTTTTTATAAAAAAAAAAGAAAAAAAGAAAAAGAAAATTTTTATATACTGTACAAAAAAAAAAAATATAAGAATAAAAAAATAAGAAAGAAATATAAAAAAATAGTTGTATATATATTTTATAAGAATAAAAAAAATAAAATCTGCACAAATCTGTTAACTCTATAAAAAAAATGAAAAAAAAAAATAATAAAAAAAAAGATAAATAGAAAATTATATATATATATATATATATATTAAATAATACTCTCCCGCCTTCTTTTTTTCTTTCTTTTTTTCTTTTTCCCCCCTCCCACAGGGAGAACAAAAATCAATTTTATAAATGTGAAAAAGAAGAAGAGAATCATGCGAGATTTTTTTTGAAATAATAATAATAAAAAAAAACCTAGAGAAGAAAAAATAAAAATAAATAATAATAGGCATGTATTTTGTATATATATATAAATATATATATATATTATATATATTTACAGAGTATAACACATTTTTAAAATTGTGATAACTTTTTTTTTAATATATATTTATATTATATATAATATAGTTCTTCGTATACATATACATATACAAATAATATATATATACGAAAGATAGAAAAAAAACTAATTTACAATAAATTTTTAAAGAAAAAAAAAATCTAATAAAGAAAATTTTAAAAAATATAATATCTATAATTGAAAATAAATAAATAAATAAATAGAGTTAAACTTTTTTTTTGACACTATATATAAACTTTATCGAAAATTAAATTATTTTCGATAAAGTTAGTTTTTTAAAAAATAAATTTTAAAAAGTAATATATAATATATACATAAATAAATACATAAAAAAAAATATTTATATTTTTTTTTTTTTTTTTGAATAAAACATATTTTGTTAAAAAATCATAAAATAATTTTTTTTTTTGCTTATAATTGTAAAAATAAAAATAAAAATCTATAGTGTATTGTGTTTCTCTTATTATAAAAAGAAATATATATAAAATTTATATATAATTTTTTGATTTCATATATATAAATATATATATATATATATAATATATATAATAATATATAATATAATATATATATATGTTTTTTTGATTTTTCGCAATTAATAAAATTAATATGCGAAAAACATATATAAATTTTTTTTTCTTTGGAAATCAAAGAAAATTTTTAAAAAAATTTATATTTTTGATTTCAAAATTTTCAAAATTTTGAAAAAAATTTTTTTTTTAAAATGAAAAAAAATATAAAAAAAAATTTATTTACAAATAAAAGGATTTTAGAAAAAAATATAAAAAAGAAGAGTTTCGTTTTTAGTGTTTTTATCAAAAAAAGGATTTATGTATATAATTTTTTTTTGGTGTGAATAAGTGTGAATAATTTCGTTATAGTAAATAGATTTTTTGGTGAGATTATTGGATACATCGAAATATATTGGTGTTCTTAATTTTTTTTTTCGAAACGTAATTTTTTTGTATGTATATTATATTTATAAGTATATTATATATACACATTTGTATATATATAATAAAATTTAATTTTTTTTTTAGGTGTTATTTACATGAAATTTTTTAAAATTTCTGAAGTCGTTAATTAATATTTTTGTATATTAATTTTGTCATTTTAATTTTTCAAGAATTTTCATCATTTTCATCTTCGTCAGTAAGGTAAGCTTCTTCCTCAGGATTTGTCACCCAATAACTATCAGAATAATCACTTAAATTATCATCAGCATCATTCTCGTTACTTTCATCTTCATAATTGAGATTTTTATGTTGGTATGGTAAAATGGGCGAAGAAGAAGATAATGCAGAAGAGTTGATAGGTGAATCAATTGTATCATCTTCTTCCTCTTCGTAAATATTTTCAACTCTGATACTTTTATTATCTTCAGATTCTGACGATGAGCTATCACTACTACCACTTCCTCTATTCAAACAAACACCGCCATAAGGTATTCTGGAAGAGAATGGTGATGGCGATGATGATTGATGAGAAGATTGTTGCAAAGGTTGTTGTTGTTGTTGTTGTTGTTGTTGTTGAGGGATCTTTTTACAAACATGATGATATTGTTTCCTCGTCATTTCATTCTCATTATTCCACAAGTCATTAATAGTCTTGGAAGGATGATTAAGAATGCCTTTAATAGTTGAAGATTTACGAGCAATTGTATAATCAGTGATCAAATTTTGTTGCAATTGCGGTGGTGGTTGCGATTGTCGGTTAGGAGAAGAGTTATTATGATGGAGAACATTAGGATGGTAAGGATGAGATCTTTGTTTTTTCAAATTATTTGCATTCAAAGAATTGTTAGGACGACGCTTCCTATTATTGTTATTGTTATTATTACTAATATTATTAATGTTGTTGAAATTTCTTCTTTGTTGCAAATGATTATTATTATAAGTTGATGCCAAGGTGTTTGTCATTAAAGGTCTAGCACCGCCATTATTACTATTACTATTATTATTAATACCGTTACCATTGTTATCGCCACCGTTGTTGTCGTCGTTCAAGAATTGAATGGTTCTAGTAATTAGATTACGTGGAGCGAGGACTAGACTAAAACCTTCCGGAATAAAAAATTGCTGCATATTTTCACGATTATATTCAAATTCCTGTGTTCTGGTGTTATATTGATGATTGTTGTTGTTGTTGTTGTTGTTGTTGTTGTTGTTATTGTTGTTGTTGGTAGTAGTAGTAGCTGATGAATTATTGGATGAATTATTGTTATTACCTGATGATGGAGGATCAAGAACTTGAAATTTAAGTATCTTTGTACTGCTACCCATTATTATTGTTATTGTTGGTAGTTGTTGTTGTTAAAAGTTGTTGTTGTTGTTATTATTATTATAATTGTTGTTGTTGTTGTTGTAATTAACGTCGATTTTTTGTGAAAAATGAAAAAATTAAAAAGATTCTTCGTGTTTTTTTTTTGTTAAAAAAAAAATATTAAAAAAAAAAATTTTTTAAACTAATTAATAATAAAAAAATATTTACAAATTAAAAATTAAAGGAAAAAAAATTTAAAAAGAAGAAAAAAAATTAAAAAATTAAAAAATCGGGTTTGTTTTTTGTTAAAATAAAAAGTATTCAAAACTTGGGAGATTGGATCATTTTATCCTCTTTGCAATGGATTACAAAAAAATTTTTTTATATATATTATTTAATTAATATAATTAATATTTTTTTGATTTTTTGATTTTTTAATTTTTTTTCTGTCTGTCGCTTTTTTTTGCACAAAAAAAAATTATCGACAAACAACTACTTTATTTATTTGTTTATCAATTTATATTTTCCAATATATAAAAATTGATAATGGATATAATTATAATTATAATATGATATAATAATGATATAATATTAATACTATTATTATATTATCTATTATATATATATAATATATATTATATAATATTAGTGGCTTTTTTTCCTTTAAATTTTATTTTTGTTGTTGAAGAAGAATAAAATTGTTGTTGTTGGTAAATCGTGGAACTATAATTTTTCAATAATGCAGTTTGGGAAAAATAAAAGATTTGATTATTATTATAATCAATATAATATTATTTAAGAGAATAAATAAATATGTAAGTTAATGCGTGCATTTGATAATTTGATAATTTGATTGTTGTTGTTGTTGTTATAACAAACAAGTTTTCTTTTTAAAAAAATATTTTTTATACTGTATGCATGTTTAAAGTTTGAATTGAATTTGAGTTTTTAGTTTTATGATAATTGACGAAAATGGGAATCATTAAAAAAAAAAAAGCGATTGAATTAAAAAGGAAAGGAAAGCTTAGGGAAAATAGTAGAGAACACTAAGACAACAATGAACACTTACAAATAAATGTTCATTGAAATAAATCTATAATATATAATAATATATAATAAATGTATATAATATATATTATTATTATGTGAGATTCAGGGAAATGTGTTTGTGGGTGGATGGGTGATGATGGATGATAATGGGTGATGTGAGAGAGATCAGGGAATATTTGTTTTTTGGGTGGGGGATTATTAATTTAATTTAATTTAATTAATTTAAATAATTTAAGGGAAATTAATTAATTAAATAATTATTCAAAAATATCCGAGATTTTGTTTTTTAAATTACCTGGATATTGTTCTTCTTTCTTTATTAAGAATATTTATAAGTCGTCAAGTGAGGGTATGATGATGATATATACCTTTAGCGTAAATAAATTTATTGATATCATTAAATAAATTAATTATTGTCGCTAGTTTGAAAGAACTAAATATGGAATCGTATAAAAATAAATTTTTCTTTTCGTTAAAAAAAAAAATTAAAAAAAAATTTAATAAATAATTATGTGATAAAAGACAATTACGAAAAAAATTAGAGAAAGAAAGTGAGAAATGTAAAAAAAAAAAGTGCATGAATTCGCATTAGTATATATCTTTTATTTTAATTATAAAGAAAAAGTTGTATGTGGTGTGATTCTTAATTCCCATAATTGGTAACATGGTATTATTTATTCTTGTTTCATTTTCTTGATGTTTAAAGATTTTTTTACATTTGTGGATTTATTGTAGACAAAATTTATTAAATTTTTGGTAAATGGCTAATAATAATATATTATTTATTTAATGTGTGTGCAGTGAATGCATAAATAAAAAATTTTTTGTTTTTTTCATTGTTTGAATTGTTTTAATTTTCGGTTAACTGTTGTATATTTGTTTTGACAATAAATTTGCTAATCATTGTCAAATATTATATATGTTACAAATATTAAAAAAACTGAAACTTAATTAAAATAATGTTGACTTATATGAAAAACTAGATATTTATCAATAGTTTCTTCTTCTTTGTAGGTAAATTTTTGTTGTTAAGAAAGAATCAAATTTCATAAACATTGTTTCGTGTGTTCTTTTTTTTACTTTACTTGCCTGCTTCCTTTCTTTCCTTTAATAATATTAATATTAACTAATTAATCAATTCTCTCTTTCCCTTTTTCTCTCCCCCCTTCTTTCTTCCCTCTCTCAAACAGCAAGCATTGTTTCAATCCTTCTTGATAATTCAATTAATATGCAAGCCATTAATGAATACTTATTGTCTCTGTCAATTATTATTGTCATTAGCAATCGAACAAACAATTTCTCAAACAAGTTTACAACCACCTTGCTTTTTTTGTTATTTTCATTCCTATCTCTAGACCTTCTTTAAAATTGCTACTTGCTACTTGCTACAACTATTTAATTTTTAATATTCTTTGTTTGTTTGTTTGTTTGTTTTTGTTGTCAATTGATTGCTAATCAGTTAATTAAATTAAATTAATTAATTAATTAATTAAATTTAATATTCTTCTGCTCATCCACACACTCGCACGCACACCCGCACGCACACCCACACCAGTTCATCAATCCATCCACAAATCTACTATTTGTTTGTTAATTCGGTTTTAGTTTGCATCTGATTATTCATTAATGGTTATTGTGATTACTAATTTAAATAATAACAATATTGTATTAATATTATTATTATTGATGTTTTATTATGGCTCACAGCTGTCTAAAAAAAAAATAATAAATAAATAAATATAATAGTAATAGACATAATATAATCATTATCATAATCCATTATTTATTATCAACTAGCCACCCAATCATACTGTATATTTATGCTATATATTTCATGTTATATGTAGGAAATATACATTACATACATTTGCATTACATCATAGCTTTCATGTAATACTGTGTAATGTATACAATTTAATAACAGTATATTATTATTACTATAGCTTACTTACATTATATATCATATCAATCACCCCACCCATTCTATGCCAGATGTGGAGAACAATATGAAAATTAATGAACTATTGTTTTTACATATAAAATTGGTTTCTTTTTTTTCGAACATGAGCAAAAAACACAAGAGACTTTTTATTGAAAATTTTATTATTATTATTCGACCAATTAAATGATCGTCACCAAATAAAAATCTCCACATCCAATAATTATCTAATAATTATTATCCTTTTTCTCTCCACAGCTAAATAATGATGATTATTATGATGATTATGATGATTATGAATTCTCCCCAGCTAATTTTTGATTGATGTACTCTGTATGGTAATTAATATTTAGCGTTGATTAATTGATTGATTGATTGATTGATTGTGATTGATGATTAACCAAAATCCATGCGTCCATCAAAAATCATCACATCCATCACTACTAACAATCAATCGATTCATTAATTATTATTATTATACGCGTAATTACTATTAATATTAATATTAATATTTTTTTAGACTTGAGAACTGGTTATTAAAAAAACGAATTAAGGCACGTGTGGTTTGTACGTATTAATCTAAAACTTTATCTGTTATCAAGTAAAATTAAAAATTTATTTAAAACGAGTTTTCCGTTTATATAACAAATATTGTGCATATATAATATTATATATTTTCTCTTTGACACTAATTTATTATTATTATTATTATTATTATTATATTATTATTATTAATTTATTTATTTATTATTTATTTGGTTTATTTATTTATTTACAATCTTTGAATCTTGGACCTATCGACTTTATAATATTATTTATTGTTATGTTTATTAGTAATTATAATTTGTTGTCAAAAAAATCAATAAATTTCAATTAGTTGTTTGTTTGTTTTTCTTTAACAGCATGTCAGTTACCCTGAGTTCAAAGTAAATCAATTTAGTAGATCATGTGTATATACTAGATTTTTTTCTTGGGGTAATGAGTGCCATTACACCTAATAAATAAATTTAGTCACCCCGGTAATCCAAACAATTAATTATTGTTATCAACAAATTCATTGTATGTTTCAGTATTTAAAATAAATGATAACAAAATTATTGTTATTCTTTTCCTATTATTGGAATTATTATTGTTATTTCTTCAATTATGGCAAATAAGAAATGAAATTAATTTCGCGATGTTTGATAACATTGTTTAAATAAATCGCACACACGCACAATACTCAAAAAATCGCACAATTATTACCCTATAGTAAAAAACGTGTTTTAATCAAAAGTTGCCACATAAAAGTGGTTTTTTTAGGTTCATTGACATTAACAAACTTTTTATCATTACGCGATTTTATTGTTTCTATAGATGTTACACACAATTTTTAAGAAGTCACACGAACACAACAACCTATTATATTTTTAAATTGTAAAACAATGGACAATAGTATATAATTTGACATATGCAAAGAAAAAAAATAATAATAAACTTTTTGTAATTTTTAGAATTACAATCAATCCATCTATAATGAATGATCCAACCTGTCCATTATCTATCATCATTCTTAATTTTTTTTATCTCCGGAAAGAAAATTAAATTTATAAAAAACTATATATTGGAACGACCAAAATTTTTAAAAAAAAAGTGGAGAAACGTTATTGCATTAGTATTATGTAATATAATAGAGAGGGAAAAGGAAAGGTTTTAATTATGATTGTTTAAATTAATAAACTAAATTGAATTGGTTAATTAATTTAGTGGGGAAAAATTAGTTTGCAAATATAAAGACATTCATTCATTCATACATACATACATTCGTTATTCTTCTCTTTGTCGTTGTTTTTTTTTGTTCCGTTTATATTCTCTTAAATGCTTACTTAATCTTCTTCTGATTCCAGTATTTAAAAAATTATATATGACGCCATACTGGAAAAAAATCAACAAGTTTGTTAACAAATTAAGAAATTAATCAAAGAAATTTCACACACATTATTATCATGTAGGATTTATGCAAGCAGACAAATATGGATGGGTAGATAGATAGATGTATGTAAATAAATGCAATTATGCAAAATGAATATAATGTTTATTAAATTTTAAATAAATATTGTGTGTGTGATTACTTTTTTACATATGATCAAAAGATATTTAGGTTTTGATGTGACCAATCCATTATTCGTCATTAATTAATTAAAATTTTTTTATACATAATTTTACGGGGAATAATTTTTGACATTATTACCATTACCATTACAAAAAATCAATAATTCCGAAAATTACAAAAAAAAATATATAAATACGTTCGTTAGATGACTATTCCATTCATCTATCCGTTCATTAGCGATTTTTTATTAATTAAAATTCTTGCACAGAGTTTATATTGTTCGATAATTCATTATCATTTTTATTGTTTTCTTGGTTTTGAAACTGCCTCATTCCATTATTTTCCTTCCAACTTTCCAGGTTATAATGTCTCTTGAACATATCTTTATGCAAACACGTGAAAATTTTTTGATGAATTTAATGAATATATAACAATGCAAACAATGGAATGATAATAATGATTATGATGTAGCGAATATAGAATTGTAAAGTGTTACAGTTAATTAAAAATTTCCTTTATTAGAAAGGAAATTAATCGTTATAAATATGTTAAAAAAAATATTTATTAATTTTTAATTATTCACAATTTGTTTCATTCATTAATTTCTTGTCAAATGATAAAAAAATTAGCTTGTGATGTCCATGATGTGATTATATAGAATATGATATATACTACTTTATTTTATATCCCATCGATCGCTGGATTATGATGAAGTATAAATATCTGCTTGTTTTTTTTTAAATGATAGTTGGCTGAAGTTCTACTATTGTTTAGAATACTATATTTAGTAAATTTTTATGTGAATCGGTAATTTAACAATGGAAGCAAAATAAAATAGGTGTATATAATTGACATTGACATTTTATGGATAAAACATTTAAGCACTATCATGATTTATTTATTTACGCCCATTTATTACGAAAGATAATGATAGATAACATTATTTTTTATTATAGCTCATCTCGTTTAATTAGTAGCATTAGCACTAGCTAAATCCAATAT